TACAGTACAATCGTTTTAATAATAAAAATACAAAACTATTAAATGTTATTTGATCATGCTGCAGATTATACAACTGCTGTTGTTGAGTCATTAAATACAAACAAACAAGGTATTTTGAGTCATTTCCCTGCTGAAAAAAAAACAAAAAAACACTGAAACCAGCCTAAGATCACTGGCTGGTTTTAGCTGGTCTTGCAGCCTGGTCGTAGTTGATCAGCAGGCTGGTTTTAGCGTGGTTTTGACCACTTCTTTAGGACACCAGCTGACTAAAACAGCTGAACGCCATTGACCAACTTAAACCAGCTATGCCCAATTTAAAACTTGCTAAGACCAGCCAACCAGCATAGGCTGGTTTTAGCTTTTTTCTTTATTTTTAATTTAATTGTATTTAATTTATTTTTTTTTCCCAGCAGGGTTTCTGTAGTCTTTGTTTTGTCGTCCTCTGGCGCCCCTAGCGTCCAGCTAAACATTACATTCATTTTCAACAAAATGCTACACTACAAATATGATCTTTTAATACTTTTGTACTTCAGAATTTCATATTTAATTGATGTGCCATTTCGTTGTAACTGTTTTACTTTATTTACTAGCAATATATAAGTGAAAATTGTTTCTACACCTATTTTTTTCAGCATACAGTAGGCTTACAGGACATAGACTATTCATTATGTTCTAAAAGAAAGGTTTGTACTTTTGTCGCAAATTTTTGTATCATTTTAATGCCAGATGAAAATACGCACTTTGACTAAAACTTGCAATTTTCAATATGCACGTGCAATTTTCTAGATCCCCCAACCTTTTTGTTTGTGCCTTAATGGCTCCCCCCATAATTCACTCCAAAAACTCGCTCCAGTCGAAAGCTTCAATGCAACCATATATTTAGCTGTCCCTTGTTATTGATAAATAATTAATGAGCGCTCAATCCAATCAGTTATTCTGTTTATCCGACTCCTCTCAGGCGCTAGTCGCTTTCTTTCTTCTTGATGTCAGAGGCGCGTCCTAAATAGACGCAATATTCGCTAAACGCTCAATATTCGCAGCCCACTGGCGGAGCTCAGTATTTTGAGTCAGGGTGGAAAATATTTCAGCATTCTTAACGAGGAGCCCGGAGCGATTTGCGTACATGCGCAAGGGGGCAGCAGATGTCGAGCAGCGCTCCCGTGAGACCCGATCTGCGGAATTTCATCATCGTGTCGGGATGACCCTGCGCTATCCCGTAGAGGAGAGCGAGAGAAAGGCTTGTGTACGTGGTAAATCACCTTTACAATGAATTGTAATGATGAGGCCCTAAAGGACTAATGCATGAGCGACCCCCTTCACCATCCAAACTAATCTGAAACTGCTGGCTATCAATGCAACTTACGACTTTGTATATTGGGCCAAGCTGATGAGCCAATATCACTTCCAATTCACAATCAGACTTGTCAACATTCAACTGCCTAATTCCCTTTAATTGGACCGACAAAACCCAGCTCCTTCAAAAGACAGTCCACAGGAACGACTAGGCTATATTATTGCAATAATGCCTGCCTGTTTATCTACAGCATGCTCCTCTGTATGCTCGAGATAAGAGTTTTTATTAAGAGGGCAGCAGTAATGTCCTGTGTCCGGCTTTCAAAGCCCAGCAAATAACCGACTTTATCTTGCGTATAAAGCTTCGTATTTAAGCTGCTCAATAACAGGCCGGTTTTGCATTCGGCTGCTCAGAAAGCACGCACCAGGGAGCCCTGTCGGTGGATCCGCTGTGGTGTTAGAGGATCTGGCGTTCAAAAATAATGGCAAACCAGCCTTTCATCGCCACTCAACAAAGCTATAAAAGACATTTTATGTCGGAAATAAATAATAAATAAATAAATGTTACTGTTTCAAAAGTTTCTTGAAACGAAAAACAAATAAGGGCAAGCATTCTACTTTTGGACAGTTGTCATTTTGAAAGCCAGATCGTGTCTTTCCAGTCAACAAAGGGTTTAAACAATGAATAAAATAGTTAATTATATGAAATATCTTTATTTATCTATGTTTATCTATTAAAATCTGAGAAGATTATATTGTCTAAAGCACACACCTTGTGTTGCATTAAAAACACTCTTACACTCTAAAAAAATGCTGGGTTAAATATGGACAAACCCAGCGATTGGGTTGTTTTCAACCAACAGTTGGGTTAAATGTTTAACCTTCTGGGTAAGTAACCCAACCGCTGGGTCAAAACAACCCAGTACAGCATGCTCCTCTGTATGCTCGAGATAAGAGTTTTTATTAAGAGGGCAGCAGTAATGTCCTGTGTCCGGCTTTCAAAGCCCAGCAAATAACCGACTTTATCTTGCGTATAAAGCTTCGTATTTAAGCTGCTCAATAACAGGCCGGTTTTGCATTCGGCTGCTCAGAAAGCACGCACCAGGGAGCCCTGTCGGTGGATCCGCTGTGGTGTTAGAGGATCTGGCGTTCAAAAATAATGGCAAACCAGCCTTTCATCGCCACTCAACAAAGCTATAAAAGACATTTTATGTCGGAAATAAATAATAAATAAATAAATGTTACTGTTTCAAAAGTTTCTTGAAACGAAAAACAAATAAGGGCAAGCATTCTACTTTTGGACAGTTGTCATTTTGAAAGCCAGATCGTGTCTTTCCAGTCAACAAAGGGTTTAAACAATGAATAAAATAGTTAATTATATGAAATATCTTTATTTATCTATGTTTATCTATTAAAATCTGAGAAGATTATATTGTCTAAAGCACACACCTTGTGTTGCATTAAAAACACTCTTACACTCTAAAAAAATGCTGGGTTAAATATGGACAAACCCAGCGATTGGGTTGTTTTCAACCAACAGTTGGGTTAAATGTTTAACCTTCTGGGTAAGTAACCCAACCGCTGGGTCAAAACAACCCAGTCGCTGGGTTTGTCCATATTTTACCCAGTGCTGGGTTGTATTTAATCCAACATTTTTTAGAGTGTAGAGATCACATGTGGGTTCTCAAATAAGCATCAGGTTTAAAGGAACAGATCACATAAAAAAAATGAAAATTTGCTGAAGATAACTCACCCTCAGGCCATCATAAATTTAGCATTACATCACTTACTCACTGGCTCCTTGGCTGTGAATGGGTGCCGTCAAAATGGGAGAACAAACAGATAAAAACATCACAATAATCCACACCACCTCAATCCATCAAATAATACCTTGTGAAGCAAAAAACTGATTGCTAGAAAAAAAAAAAACGACAAGGACGTTTTGACTTTCAAGTTGCTTCTGTCCTAAATACCAGTCCATAATCCATAATAACACTTCCTTCAGTGGAAAAAATACATAATCTGTTCAAAATCACATCACATCAAACATCACATCAAAATGCACTAACATATTTGATTAGAAATGTTTTGGAAACTTTTCTCTTGTATATTGTGCTTGATCTCTGCATATTTCTCCCCTGATTCAGACGAGACGACAATATTATGGATAGAGGAGTCACATTTAGCGTAAACAACGGTTTTATGTTAAAAACGTCTTAATTGTGGAATTGTTTCTTACAAGCACCCAGCTTTTCACTTGATGGACTGGAGTTGTGCTGATTATCAGCTTTTCACACTCTCATTCTGACGGCACCCATTCACTGCAGAGGATCCATTGATAAGCAAGTGATGTAATGCTAAATTTCTCCTAATCTGTTCAAATGAAGATGGCCTGAAGGTGAATACATTTTTAGTCAGCAAATTTACATTTTTAGGTGAGCTGTTCCTGTAAGCAGTAAGCACTGCCATTGAACTACAGCTCTGAAAAGTAACTATGGCTTATAAAAAAATTAAAATAAAGAATAAGCAATGATTATGTAAGCACCATTGTCTGCACTGAATGTTGCGCGCTGCAGCGAGCGGCGCGCACTGGATGAGCATCAAGCGCAAGAGGGACCACACTAGCCACGAGGATGTCAGAGCGGAGAGAGAGAGAGAGAGAGAGAGAGAGAGAGAGAGAGAGAGAGAGAGAGAGAGAGAGAGAGG